ACTCTCGGATGAGAAACTATTATCTTTGGAAGGCTGGGAATTGAGAAAAGGCTGGCATGCCTATATTTGGTATGACCAAGAAAAGAAAGAAAAGGGTTTTGGTAACCACTTTATAAGGTCGGTTTTACTTAGAACCTGGTTAAAATATAAAAGAAACTTTTATTCTAAAATACCTCTCTGGGTGTCACCCATTGAGGCGAACCAAAGGCGGCTATTAGGATGGCAAAAGTGGCCTAGATATAAAGATTTGTTGATTAAAAATACTGATCTGCTAAAATCACATGATGACCTAAAAAAAGACTTTGGAAATGTATCATGGCTACACTATATGCAACTATGTAGCTATTACAAACAAGACAAGAAAACAGGCTTCTGCCTAGAAGAGAATGTATGGGAGAAATTACTAAATGTAGAGAAAAAATTGATATCTAAGATTTATAGTAAATTACTTGATTGGGCAACGGAAACAGAAACGGTCAAAAATTGTATGGTTAGATGGGCCCAAAATGTTAGAAGGCCAATTCTCCTAAGGGAATGGGATACGTTATGGAATAAAAGAATTAAGTACACATACGCCACAAATTTGAAAGAAAACCTATGGAAGATGGTCCATAGGTGGCATATTACACCAAAAAAAATAAGTATAATGTATAAGAATACAGAAAATAAATGTTGGAAGTGCCAAGAAGAGGAAGGTAGTTATTACCATATGTGGTGGACTTGCAAAAAAGCGCAAGAGTTCTGGAAAAAAATACATATGGAATCTCAGAAAATTTTAGGAATTACCTATTTAAAAAAGCCCGAGTATTATTTATTAAACATTATGGATTCGGCCATTAATTTAGACCAAAATAAGGATATATTACTGACATACTTATCGACTGCGGCAAGAATTATCTATGCAAAATATTGGAAACTGGGAGAAATCCCAGACATAGAGAGTTGGTTAACCAAAATATTAGAAATAAAAGACATGGACAGATTAACTTTTTTGTTAAGGAAGAATTCAGGAAACCCAATTCGAGAGACGGATTGGTCTCTCTTGGAAAACTATATAGAAGAGAAGAAGAAAGAAGATAACTGAAGAAGAAAGTGGAAAGAAGGTTGGAAAGCAACAAATTCCCAGAATGGAAGTCAACAATTTTTAATTTTTCCTTTTTTTTTTTCCCCTTTCTTCTCTCTTTCTCTCTTATATCTCTTATCTCTTTACTGTTTGGATATTGTTCCCACTCTTTCCCTGTAACCCCACAATACCTTAAAATCTTAATAAAAATTTATTTCAAGTAAAACAGCAGGAGATCTGATTGCAGCTCTCCGGCTGTTTCACCGAGCTGCGTCCTTAGAAGAGCATGCTTGTATGCAGTTCCAGTGTACAGAGACATCTGAAAAGGCTATTTGTGTAACCACAAGTGTACACTATCCCTCCCTTTAAGCTGAAGGATTTATTACTTTCAAACATCTGTCCATACCCATATATCTATCTTTAAGAAAGACTGGGTAATTCTGTAATATGTTTCAGGCATGGGACAAGCATCCCAGAAAATAAAAAGACAATGAAGCACTGCAAAACCCTTGGCCAAAATTAGTGCAACATGCATAACTTTTTCTTGTCCTTTTTGATAAGAGTTTAGGAAGAGGGGGGTTTATTTTACAGCTCTCAGAATCCTCCAGCCAGCATGGCCTCTAAAGTGTGTTTTCCCCAAGCTTTAAATACTATATTTGGGACTAACTATGCTTTTTTACTTTAGGAATAGCTGATAAAACTGCCTTTTATTTTCCTGATGATTCTTCTCGCTTTTCCAAGTGGTTAAAATCCTATTCTTTACTGTTACATAATACAATATGACCTCTATATATACAATCAATATTTTCCTGGACTTCACAAAGATATGTGAAACTGTGGATAACAAGAAACTCAATTGTTTTCAATGGATTAAGTGATGGAGATACTGAGAAAAGAGTGTAGCTTGTACAGGAGTTTCTACGAGAATAATTGAAATGTGGATAAGTGAAACCACATATATCAGTTTAGAGCAGTGGTTTCCAACCTGTGGTCCATGGACCACCAGTGGTCCCCAAGAACGAAAATATGGTCCGCAGCCTCATCATTACTACAACATTGCCTTGAAACCACGCAGCAACGAGAGTGACTGGTCTAACAAAACCCTCTTATATTGCCAAGGCAATGAGGATGTTGGGAGGGATGAGGCTACCTACTCACGAAAGATTACTACTACCACATCAGCTCTAGATTATTAAATATGGTTTTCTGTGGGCAAGCAGATGCAACTATTGGATGGCATATGTTCTGTATCAGAAACTAGAGCTGATATGGCCTATCCAATACAATTTTCTGAATCAGCACCCCAAATAACCAAACTGAATCTAAAGGTGACCAAAACCTGTTTTGTAACCCTTTGGGTACTAATTTTGGACAGTGGTCCCTGGTCAAAGTGGTCCCTGATAAAAAAAAAAAAGGTTGGGAACCACTGGTTTAGAGGATACAGGGGTTTAAAATTTGTTCAGTATAGTGATTTCCTAGATATTGGTGAATTGTGTGTAGGTGGACCTCTATATTTTAAATGGGGAAAGTTCCACCTGTGGAATTTCTGCTGGTTGAACAGCTGCTGAAGTCCTGTTAGAAAAGAGTTGGCAACTCTAGTGTCAATATGAATAGTCTCATATGTCACACATGAGTGATGAAACTACAGCTCAGTGGTTGTCGGCATTTTTTTGAAGTGTCTAGTGTGAGCCAGGCGCTGATCTGAAATCTTACCACTTCTGTAATATGTCAGAGTATTCATATACACATACTCCAGTGACTTCCTGTGCTTAACAATAAACTTGAATGCATCCTGCCTTGCACTTACAGAATAGGACCACAGAAAAGGTGTGTCTGAGCTTCCAATAATGTGTTCTGCTCTATACTCTATTTCAAATGCTTCCTTGAAAATGAGTCCTTCTTCTTAATCCCTGGACTACTTCATACATGTTACAATGATTTTTATGGGGATCATTTTTGCATAGAAAAGGCCTACCTCTCTATGTAACATAGCATGTGCCTTCCACTATAATCCAGCTATTGGGGAACAAGAGTGGAATGGTGTTATTATACATTCAGGTCTAGCTTGTTGATCAGTATGTCAAAAATACTGGACTACATAGACCCTTGATCTGGTCCAGTACAACTGTCCTTATGCATGAATTTCATATACACTATCATGTGAAAGTACATACATTGCATACTCATTTCCCAACACTGATTCCTACATTTTCCTCAAAATTGGCATGCCAATATTCATATTCCTATTAGGAGGGGCATTTAGAGATCTCAATCAGTGAGTTCTAGGGTCTTACTAAACTATACACCTTACAACACACAAGATTTTGCTATGGCACTTAGTGTGATAGGGCTATTAGTCATGCACTTTCATGGATGAGTGAAGAACACTCAAATTTACATTGTGTCACATTTACCATCATCTGCTATTGATGGATGATGCTTCAAATATACATGTGTGCATTCTAGTTATATGTCAGCTTATGATGACCACATTAATTCCATAGGATTTTCTTAGGCAAAGAAGTGGTTTGTCATTTCTTCACTAAGAAATAGAGCATACAGCATCTGGAATTAGTTGGCAGTTGCCCATCCAAGTACTAACCACAGCTGCCCCCTCCATAGCTTCCAAGATCGGATGGGATTTGGTACTTTTAGTGTATACACCAAATATTCCATTTTCACAAATCCAGGAAGCATATTCAGGGTTCTGTCTGTATAGCTAAATAAAGCAAAATCCACAGAAGAAAAATAGCTTTATTGACCAACCAAAATTTGAAAAGAAAGAAGGTCTCTCTTGATTCACAAAAGAGAGAGGCATTCTAGATTTTAAATTTGAGCATCCCTTATCTGGTATCCCAAAGTCCAAAATATTCCAACATTTAGAATTGTCAATATAGGTGTCACATTTGGTGGCTGAGATAGTGACACTTTTGCTTTCTGATGCATATAAACTTTGTTCCATACACAAGTTCATTAAAAAGTATTGTATAAAATTACGTTCATACTATGTGTACATGAATTTCATGTTTAAACATAGATCCCATCTCCAAGATATCTCATGATGTATGTAATAATAATAATAATAATCATCATCATCATCATCATCATAAACTTTATTTATACCCCGCCACCATCTCCTCGATGGGGACTTGGAGCGGCTTACATGAGGCCAGGCCTGAACAACAATTACAATAAAGAAAACCAAGATACAACCGAAAACACGAACAATAGACAATAACATCATAATTACAGAAAACATATGGATACATAACAATATGAGAATTACAATAGACACAGGCACAGTGACAATGGGTGGGCTACATGTAATGGTTAAAAGACAAACTGATTAAAACTAATTAAAAACTCAGACGAGATAAAAGAGAGAAGCAGATAATTTGCAGAGGAGGGCTCATTATGGTGGGGGTTGTGGACATGCAGATGTTGGTGTTCCAAAATGTGAAATCCAAAACACTTCTGGTCCCAAGCATTTCAAAAAAGGAATTCTAACATTGCCATTTATGAAAATGAAACAATATCAATCAAATTGTTTCATTTTCATAAATGGCAATGTTCACAGTGTCGAAATACGCACACACACAGGTGCCTCACTTCCTTTCTCTCATGGAGAATACTATATTTTAGATCTTTGGTATCCACTGGGGTTTGGTTCTTGGAGCTCCCTTGGAAACCAGCATTTATTAATGCCAAGTCCCACTATATGAATTGGTATAGTAAAATTGTAACATTTATATAAAATGACAGAATCAAAGTTTGTTTTGGAATTTTGAGGGAGGAGGATTTTCAAGCTATGGAAAGCTGAAATGTATGGATACAGAATTTGTTGATACAGAAGATTGAATACTTAGGCAGAACAAGGAGATATGCAAAAATACACATGCCACTAGTTCATAGGCTGCTAAGCAACCAACTCACCCATGGCAGCAACTTCAGAAGAAGAGACCTTTGGCTTGCAACGCGTCACCGATGCTCCACCACAAAGCGCATTGTGGTGCCATCAAAAGATGGTGGTGCAATGATCCTGGGGCCCAGTGGCTGAGAGGTGATGCTGATGAGGGGTGCCTTCTCATTACCTGAAGCTGCCTGCTGATGCTGGAGTTGAGTCCCTTTACCTGTGGGCATGTAGTAAGGGCTGTCGGCTCCAGTGATGCTGGATGAGGCCCTTGTGCTGAGGTCGCCATTGGGCTGCTGCTGCTGGATCAATTGACCCTGCAAAGTGGCGCCACCAGTGGGCAAGACAGCTGGAAGGAAGCCTGGGTAGATCATGTAGGCAGCAGCTGGTGCACCATAACTTCCACCTGCTGCTGCAGGGCCCAGGGTCAGGGAAGATATGGGGAGGGTCATGGGGGCCATGGCAGCTGGTGGGGGAGGCTGTTGTGCAGCTGGGAAGGGCACTTCTACATACTGCCCAGTCTCTGGATCAAAGAGGCGTCGCTTTTGAGGCTGCTGCTGCAAGGGTGCATCTACCACATAACACTGGCCTGTGCTCAGGTCCAAGAGGACCTTGCGCTGTGTCTGAGGTGGTGGGAAAGTAGAGGCTTCAGCAGCAGGGGGCGAGAAGCACAGCAGGGGGGCCTGTTGTGTTAAGGCAGCGGCAGCAGCAGCAGCAGCAAGGGACAAAGCCTGAGGAAAAATTTGTGCAGGAGACATATCAAATTGATGTGCAGTGGCATGAGGCACCTGAGGCAAGGGCTGTTGCTGTGGCTGCTGAGGAGAAAGCAGAGGCTGCTGGTTCCTTGTAGCAGGGCCTTCCTCAGGCTGTTGTTGCTGCTGCCTGGGCTGGTTTCTCCCTGAACAGTAAGGCTGTTGACCACTAAGGGCAGATGCAACTGAGGTTGCTGAGATGAGACCCCCACCCGCTGAGGGAGCTTCTACTGGTTTTTCCACAGACGGGGCTTTGAGAGGGATGGCCAAGTAGTTCCCACAGTCTGGGGCTGGCATCTTGGGGCCCTTTTCAGCCTCCTCCTGCTTGTCTGCAAAGAGTTTGATGGACCGTGGCCTGCCCTGCCCTTTGAGGCCCCTGGGTGGTGGTGGAGGAGAAGGCTCTTTGGACTGCTGCTGCTGCTTGGCCTTGTGAGCCTGGGCATTGAAGGTGAAAGTGCCACGGGGGGCCTCAGAAGCCCTGCTTCGCTCCAGAGCTCCTGTGGGAGTGGGGGTGGTAGCACTTGTGGTTGCTTCTCCACGTAAGCCAGGGCCACGTAGTCGCTCCCGAGACTGGGCCAGATTCTCAAAGGCAGCCGTCTTGGCTGAGACCTTTTCTGTGTTCTTGGTGGGGTTGGCAGTTCTGCTCTGGGTTTGGCGGTCTGGGCCATTCCTGCTGCTGGGAGATATTGCCTGACCTGTTACCTGGTCCTCTGATTTGGCACCTGCCAACAATTCTTCTCTGGTACAAGGCATGGCTCCTGTGTTCCGTTCCTCACTGGTGATGAGAGAAAGAACATGGCTGTCAGTTATGGGCAGCGGGTCACTCTTGCGCTTCCACTCATTTTTGTGGAAACTGTAGAGTTCCTCCATGCTCCGGACTGCTGCTGTAAGTTTCTCCAGTGCTTGATGGTTTACTGTGAGAGATGTCTTTGTTGCTTCATCTCGTGAAGGTTCTTCTTCTCCAGCAGCCACTAATGGCACTACCTTATTGCTCTTCTCTAATATTGCTGGTTGAGGCTGCGATGCTGGCTGCGCTTGCTGCCTCCAAGGCACAGAGCTTTTGGAGACTATTTTCAGCACAGCAGGCTGATGGGGGTCACTTTTGTTTGGAGCAATGGTAGCCACAGGTAGCCTCCCTGAAGTCCTGTGCACCAGGATTGTCCCCTCTTGGCTGGAAGGTAGCATCTTGCTTCCACTGTTTGTTTTGGCCTCCATCTCAGAAGTTCTGCATATCTTCTTGTCCTCCTTGTCCTCCTTGTTGTTGCTTACTGCCTGCCAAGTTATCACCATTGGAGAAAGAGACCTGGGAATGCCTGCTGTCACCATCTGCTTTGGTTTCTGCTCAGAGGTTCCCTGCTCAGAGTTGATGCTGCCTCTATCACTGTTCTCTCCTGATTCATGGCTGTAGTTACTTTTGATTAGTTTCCTAACATCTCTCACCTGGTGGATGGGACCTTGGATCTTAGCCTTACTTTCTCTTACATCGCGCACTTGGAACTGAGGCACTTTATCCATAGTTTCCCCTTTGAATGATTTTTGCTGCTGACACTTGATATCATCAACTGTCTTTAAAAAGTTTGGGATGCTTCCAGCTAACTTGGGTGTGAGGAGCTTGGCAATATTGAAAGGATGATCTTTGTTCTGCTGCACGCTGCCCAAACTGATTTTGATCTCAGGCGGTTTAGGCTTTAGCACTGTGGTAGCAATGGCTGTCTGAGCCGCTGCACTGGTTGCTGTGGAGTATCTGGTCACCTGTGTGCTGGACTGCTTTTCTTTGGTTGTTTGTTGAATATTTGGAACAAAGAGACGAGACATTTTAGTTGATTTGCTGGTTGATATTTCTCCCAAATCAGCCTTCCAATCACCTTTGGGTGAAATTTTCAGTTTTCCCACAGGAGCCTTTTCTTCCTTTTTCTCTGCTTCTTTTTCTTTCCATGTTCTGAATGCACTGTTTTGACTACGGAGGAAAGTTGCCTTGAGTGTTTCGGAAGCACTCTCTTTTATTTTGCATGCCTCTTCTAGCAATGTTTCAGAGAGGGATCGATCCAGACTAATGTTTCCCTCCCGAGGAGTAGAAGGCTTGGAAGTAGGTGACTTGCTATCAAAAAACTCCCCCAAGTCATCTCCCGTTACAATAGTGTAATCGGAACTGCCTTCTGAATATCTAGAATTCTGTCTCTGCAAACCCCCATCCTTGAACTTTTCTTTGAAATTGCCATCTACCTCTTTAGAAGATAAGGAATTGGACATACCAGAATATGTGGTGTCTGTGATCTCTCCTCTTTCCATTTTGAATTCATGCTCCAACTGCATTTTCTTTGAGATGACATTTTTGAGGAGACTAGATGCAAATTTTGATTTCTTCTGTGTGCCTTCCATGGTTTCTGCAGCTGACCCAGTTTGTTTGCAGGCTTCATTGCCCAGCTCCTTAGACAGTGCGTCTGTAACTTCATCTGTGCAACTTGATCTAACAGTAGTATTTTCAGAAGGTTTAGCATGTCTGGGGACTCCCGTTTTAATATTGCTGCTGAAATTCAAAGTCTCCAACAAAGTAACAACTCGGGACCCCGACTGGATCCGTTTTTCAAAAGAAGGTGGTGTTTCGACATGTGTTATTTCCCCATCAAGTTTGCTGACCACAAACTCCAATGCTTTCGTCTGTGACTTATTAGAGTGAATATACAACTGGTCAGTGGAAGTTTTTGTCCCAGTGCTTCTGTTCCATCCTGCAGATGCAGTGTTGCTTTTGAAAAGATTCTGCTCTGCTTTTTGCCCAAGGCTGCCACACTTTAAATCCAAGTAAGTTGACCACCGGTTGATTCCTAAGGTATGGTCAGAAAGAGATGTGGAAGATTCACTGGAGCTCAAGTTCAGAGTATCAAAATAGGGATAAGCTAAGCTCCGGAATGCCCTTGCCGTGAGGCTTCTTACTTCTTTATCTGCATCATCCAGCTCACTAACCACACTGGAAGCACCACTTGAATATCCTCCCAATTCTCTTGCTCTTATGGCTCCGCACTTTGTTTGCAAGCGTGCAGGAACTGCAATGAATTTTTTTGCATAGTCATGAAACACATCTTGTTTTAATCTTGAATTTTGTTCATGAGCTGTGGAGACACAGACACTCATGTCGCCTTCATGCTTGGCAGCATAAATAATGTTTTGCTTTTTGTGCTGGTTGCTAGGCTCATTTATAGCCTTGGAAGTTGGTTTGATTGATAGGAGTATCTGGCCTGCAGAATTCTCACTCATGTTGCTGAGGTTCTTGGACTGACTTTCTTCCGAGCTGGCGCATTTGTCTGTGATAGGGGTATCGCTTTCAGAATTAATGCTGACTATCTCTGTGCTGCTGGTATTATCAATACTGTCGGTCTGGTTATTGGGATCGCTAGTGGTCGTGCTGAGATAACAGCTATTGTCCTCTTCTGTTTGTGTGTCTGCAAGAGTCTCTTCACTCCCAAAAGAAGCATAATCCACAAAGGAATAGATCACATTGTTGTCCTCAAAGTCCCACCGGGAGGCTAATCCATAGTCAAAATCCATGTCATGGTCCACTTCACTAAGCTGAATTTCATGGGTTGTAATATAATGTGCTTCATCATTATTACTGTTGTTTTCGCTGGTATAGCTGTGTTGCGACTGCAGCAGTTGTGTAGCATGCCGACATTCTTCTCTCTGGTTACTCAGACAGATTTCTTTGCACTCTGCATCATCATCTTCATCACTGTCATATCCAAATGAAGAAGAGGAGGTTTTGCCCCCTGTGCCTGAGTCGTCTGTTTTTGGAAAGCACCCTGTCTTTTGTACTGGTGAAGGAGACGAGGACGAGGACGATTCTGGGCAGCCATTTGTGTAAAGCTGGATGTTGGAGATGCTAGGGGACAACGTGCTCTCAGACCCTTCTGAGCTGCTGCCAGTAATGCTTCCCCCCACCTCATCAACTTTCCTCCCCATGGGAGAAGGAGAGCCTTCCATTTCAGATTTATAATCCGGGGATTCTTGATCTGCAGATTTGTCTGCCAGCATATTGTTAGCCAAGCTGTTAACCTCATTCATCCCATAAGGTCCATTTTTAGGTCTGATAAAGGCCACTTTACTTCCATTCCCTGCCAAAGTCAGTTTTACAGCCTGAGGACTCTCTCCCCTCCCTCCTGGGAAATCATAAATCTCCACATATTTTGATTCCTCGGAGGAGGACGCTGGTGGCTCTTGAGAATGTTGCTTCATTTTTCGGCTGCTGCTTTCTCCAGCATTCCCTTTTTGAATCATGATCTGCTCAGCAGGCGATTTTGTAAGAACGTCCATGCCGACTGCTTTGCAAGCTGACTGAAGGGAACAAAGAATTTTTGGACCCAAAGGCAGAAAGCTGGGAGACACACACGTGTCTCCAGTGCTGTGGCTTCCAAGTCCACTCCCAGAAGTTTAGTGGTGGACCCCAGAGAGACGCCCGAAGGTGCTGGGGTGGTAGTAAAGTGGCTGGCTGCTGTTGTCTCTGCGGAGATGGGGGGGAAGCTGCTGCGGCTGCTGCCAGGCTCTTATTCCACAGCTATGAAGTACAGTTGTTGGTCTGGCACGAAGAGCTGTCAGTCTGAATGCCATTGGTAACAGAAGTAGCAATGCTAGCCGCATCTGCAGCTCAGCTTCCCCAGACATCCCGAAATGACAAGAAAGCATATGGAAATTCTTACAGTTATTAAAGGGGGATGTGTTGGTGGGGGAAGGAATCCTATTTATCATATAGTCATTTTTAAAAGAATATTACTATTTTGAATGGTGGAAAAACTATGCAAGAGATAGCAGGGAAGGGAAAGCAAAAAAATGTATAGTGCAGAGAGTAGTGGTACTTTTAATCACATTATGGAGAGTTGTAGCACTTTTAAACACATAACACAGAGTAGTGACACTTTTAATCACATTACAGAGAATAGTGGCACTTTTAATCACACAGCCATCCCCAGGTAAAGTTTGTGAGATCAAGAGCACAACATTGAATTAATTCTTGGTATTGAACTCATTGAAGAGCCTGCTCTTTTTATGATAAGCTTCCTAAAAATCACATATTTTCAGCCCAAAGACATTATTCAAAGATATTAATCTACCTACCATTTGGTTTCATTTTATGCAGAAATATTTAAAACCTCTTCCTATTCCATATATATATATATATATATATATATATATATATATATATATATTCCTGATTTTGAGAAAAACAATGTCCAGAAATAGATGTAACAAATTTTACATTGCATTTTTTCTTTTAGTAACACTGTCAAACCCACAAACCAAGACTTTTGCTTCAAAGCATGTCAGCTAGGATTAATTGCACTTAAGTCTCACTAGAGCCAAAGAGACTGAAATGTTCTAACTCTCTTGGATAGTGACCACCTGTTACAATGAGATCTAATCACATTTCAACACAGGAGATAAATGATAATCTTGGGTCACAAATCATTACCTTCTCTCTGACTCTTGTAGCGCAAATCCGTTGATAACACGCAACTCGGTAACTCAGAAGAAGGAAATAATTTCATATCTTCAGATGTCTTTAGGGGAGAGAAAGAGTTGAAGTGCACCCTGGAAATGTCGAACAGGTTTGGATTTTCACAGCCATTTGGTCAGAGAAAGAAAACGGTGGGGCATTTTTGTAAGATCGGTGTAGCTTGCTAGGTCAGAACCATTAACTATACATAGACTGTGTGTCATTTCAGCCGATTGAATAAAGTACTATTTTAAACTATCACATTTGTACATAGCAAAAATAAATGTGTTCAGCCATCCCTCGTAACAGGAATCCTTAACACCTCTTATCAAATGTTGTTGCCTATCTTTCAAATTTTGGATATTTAAGATGGGAGGTTGTTATTTTTAAATAGTGATTATAAGGAAAATATGAGCAACCTGAAACATGTGAACTGTTCAGATGTTTCAGACCACATGAAAGCATATGCAGACATACAAAATATAGTCTGAAAAGTTTTTATTTGGGTGATATGGAATGTTTAGATTGGATACTCTTTGCTGGCATAGAATTTTGTGTTGCAAAATAAATTATTTAAGTTAATGTTTGTCACTATGAAAAAATGCCATAAACTTGTGTGGTTTTATTTTTATCCATTGAATAAATGAATATAGTAAAAGTGATAGATTGCTCATAAGCCAAAAAGGAAAGAGCTTTCAGGTGAGAGGATCCATCACTAATAAATGCCCACTTTATAAGTGTGCAATGTCAATAAACAAAGGTGGAAAGGTGAATCAAAGCTAGAGTGGCAACCTGTTTCCAATAGAAAATGTCCAAATCCAGGCTGATCTTGAATATCAGAATGCCCGCCCCCCCCTGCGCCCGCCATTCCTCTTCCTTCTCCTAAACTGGAAGCTAAGGTAAAGGTTTCCCTTGACATTAAGTCTAGCCAACTCTGGAGAGTGGTGCTCATCTCCATTTCTAAGCTGAAGAGCTGGTGTTGTCCATAGACACCTCCAAAGTCATATAATTATTTATTTATTTATTTATTTATTTATTTACTGCACTTGTAGACCGCCGTTCTCAGCCCTAGGGCGACTCACGGCGGTGTACAACATATAAAAACAGGTACAATTTGCAACATAAGCAATATCACAAACAACAATAAACAACATCACTATCAATAATACAATTACACTAAATCATTCGCGACGTCTCATCATTGAATCACAATCCAAATCTCGTTATCCATGTTCCGTTCCAATCGTCATTGCCAATTGTTGCAGCATTTACTCAAACGCCTTCTCAAACAACCACGTCTTTAGTCTCTTGCGGAATGTCATAAGGGAGGGCGCCAGTCTGATGTCCACAGGGAGGGTGTTCCACAGCTGGGGGGCCACCACCGAGAAGGCCCTGTCCCTAGTCCCCGCCAGGCGTGCCTGTGAGGCAGGCGGGATCGAGAGAAGGGCCTCCCCGGACGATCTCAAAGTCCTCGTGGGCTCATAACCCGAGATGCGGTCAGAGAGGTATTTTGGGCCGGAACCGTTTAGGGCTTTGTAGGCCAACACCAGCACCTTGAATTGGGCCCGGTAGCAATTGCGGTTTGTTAGTTTATATTGAATCTACATAGCAGTCCTCCCAACTCCAGATCCCAAGTTGATTTGCACAGAGTATAAAAAGAAAAATGTCTACTCTGGAGTAGTTAATACATGCAGCTTTATAAAGAAAAATACAGTAGCCTTGAAAACTTCATTGTCCACATTGTCCATTGCAGAAGAAAAAACACTTACAAAATAATGCATTAATCTGCTTCTTTCCAGCAAACCTTGTAGCATAGTTCCATCTCTGATTACTTCATTTCACCCACTACCTGCATCAAGAAAACCTCACCTGATATACATCCTAATCAGGGAGTGGTTCTTCCTCAACACACACATATAAGCAAGAGGTGATTCTTGTCAAGACTTACAAAATCATATACTGTAACAGATCGGCAGCCAGTGGAGCTGGTACAACAAGGGCGTTGTATGCTCCCTGCGTCCCGCTCCTGTTAGTAACATGGCTGCCGCGCGCTGGACTAGCTGGAGCTTCCGGGCCATCTTCAAGGGCAGCCCCACGTAGAGAGCGTTGCAGTAGTCAAGGCGGGATGTGACCAGAGCGTGTACTACTGTGGCCAAGTCAGACTTCCCAAGGTACGGGCGCAGCTGGCGCACGAGCCTGAGCTGTGCAAATGCTCCCCTGGTCACCGCTGAGACCTGGGGATCCAGGCTCAACAATGAATCCAGGATCACACCCAAGCTGCGAACTATGGGACTCAGCACTATGTTTTATTGTATTTATATGTTTTAAATATTTTATAATTTGAGATGTTATATTTATATTTATAATTTGAGATGTTATATATAACCGGCATGACTGCAAGGAACGCCGTTACCTTCCCACCGAAGCGGTACCTATTATTATTATTATTATTATTATTATTATTAAACTTTATTTGTACCCCGCTAGCATCTCCCGAAGGACTCGATGCGGCTTACAAAGGCCAAGGCCTCAATACACAACATAACAATACACCTAAAGCAAATTAAAACAGTTAAAGCAATATTAAAACAACAAAACAACAAGCAATAAACAATACACCAAAACACAGTAAAACTGGGCCGGGCCAGAGTAAAGGGTACAGGATTAAAAGTGCTGATGCGACAGGTAATATGTAAGGCTTATAGGGCAAGTGCAGTGTGTGGCAATCATAATTCTAATAAAGTGCTTATGGGACTTGGTATTGGAGATTTCCTATTCAGGGAAGACACATCGGAACAGCCAGGTCTTCAAGTTCTTTCTGAAGACTACCAATGTAGGGGCCTGTCTAAGATCTTTGGGGATGGTGTTCCAGAGTCGGGGGGCCACCACGGAAAAGGCCCTTAATTGGCAAGTTATCAAACTGCTAGGTTGGCAGAAGCTGGGGCTAACAGTAGGAGCTCACCCTGCTTCCTGGATTCGAACTACTGACCTTTCAATCAGCAACTTCATAAGCTCAGCAGTTTAACTCACTGCACCACCAGATGAGTCAAGGCAGCTTGCAAATTATATTCCAAATATAATTGCAAATTATATTCAAAGTATATTTGTATATTCCAAATATACAAAGAGTCGAGATTAAAATATATTTATTGTCATAAATGTAGGCTATGGTAACCTGGTCCCATTTATGTGTTAAGTAAAAGGGTTTTGGTCTTGAACGCAGATTTTATTAAAACCCTTTCCCAATAAAATAGATATAAGTGGTTCATGGAGCATGTTTTCTATTATACAGAAGCCTTAAATTTAATCATCTGCATTTCTGTTTCAGATGCCCTCTGCCCTCTGTTATTGAACTGCAACTAAAGCATTCCTCACATTCGGCATTCTCACCACTGCTTTACGGTTCTGGTCCAACTTACCTGTTCAAATGTATCCCCCTTTATGAGCCAGTTAGAGCTTTAAGATCTGCTGGGGAGGCCCTACTCTCGGTCCCACCCTCTTCGCAAGAGAGACAGGGCCTTCTCAGTGATGGTCCCTCAGCTTGGAACTCCCTCACCAGCAACACCAGACTGGCCCCATCCCTCCTGGTTTTCAGGAAAATGTTAAAGACCTGGCCTTGCACACAGGTATTCAGGGAGTAGTGTAATATGGAATCTGACTTGAATGTAGCAGCTTGAATAACGACTATGGGACTCAGCACTATGTTTTATTGTATTTATATGTTTTAAATGTTTTATAATTTGAGATGTTATATTTATTATTTGTATGTATAATGCGGTATTGAATTTTTCCATGACCTGTAAGCCACTCTGCATCCCCTTTGAGGTGGGAAGAGTAGAGTCTCACTTATCCAACATAAATGGACTTGCAGAATGTTGGATAAGTGAAAATGTTGGATAATAAGGAGGGATTAAGGAAAAGCCTATTAAACGTGAAATTACTTTATGATTTTACAAATTAAGCACCAAAATATCATGTTTTACAACAAATCGACAGAAAAAGCAGTTCAATATACGTAACATTATGTAGCAATGACTGTATTTAAAATTACAAAACATCACAATGTATTGAAACAGTTGTGGATCTGGGCGGGAGGCACACTGCGTTGGGTAATACAGAATGTTGGATGAGCAAGACTCTACTGTAAATAAGTAGATAAATAGTGGGAGATTAGTTGAC